GATCAGTAAACAATGCAAACTTGGCTCTTTCAAGATTCCTATGCTTGTGCAAAACTCAGAAGGAAGTGTATGGCAGCATACATAAGACCCTATAAAAAATATTATTAGTTTATCACCCTATCTGGGCAGGAAAATTGATGAGGGAGGGAGGCTTTTTTTTAAATTTTTTAATTTTGCTAAAGCCAAATATCACCCTTGGGTTGTTTGCTGGTGCATTCATATTCAAATTAAAACATGATTTAGATAATGCAAACAATATCTACTAACTATTTAATAAAATAAATGAAAAAAGTAAATAAATAAAATTAAAAATTTTTCAAAAAAAAAAATGTTTTTCCAGTACCATAGAAGACATGCGCCTGTTGGTGATAAACTAATAATTTTTTATTGGGCCTAATAAAAGATTTCAATTTAAAATGAACAAAATGTCCTTACTAAATGTAATGTAATGTTTACTTTTTGTAGAGAACTATTCCTACTATCTGTATACAGCTCATTCTCACACTAAAACAGTGGTCTACTGTTTATGAAATAAGACTTGATGCGCCATATGCCCAGGGAGCATATTTACTGTGTCTTATATGGAGCCCAGAGAAACTGCAATAAGTATGTTCTGAACTCAATAACACTTGACCTGACCTGGTAACTGTATATGATTTAATTCCAGTCAGTTGACCTTGCCTGATTGCTTAGCCTGTTGGGCAAGTGCGTCCATATGGGGAGCATATGGTTGTTTACCCTCAATTCACCTATTCAACCTTATTTTCAAAAGAGGTGAAATGTCCGCCCACCAACTCAGCTGAGAAATTGCTTAATTCCATGTCTGATATTTTGAAATTGCTTCTCTATATTTTTGTAATGAACACCACTAACAGAAAGTGAAAATAATAGCTATAATTATATCAAAAATATTTGGAACAGAAATTTTATAATTTAAATCAAATTCAAGTTATTTAAATTACAAAATTATTAGAAATTAGGCATGGAATCTGAACTTTTGAAATTGAAATAGGGGGTGTTATTCTCTAGTGCATAGTTCTATAATAAAATTATCAAAACATCAGATCAGAATAGTTTTTTTTTTCTCTAAATGCTCGGTTAATATTAATTTAAAGACAGTTATACTAAATAGGAGAAATAATAAGATAATTAGTTGGCAGGTACTGTTTGTGATATGGCATAGTAACTAGTTCTAACCACTAACTAAACTTTGTTCTCTAAATTTCTAAAACAACACTGGATTAACTTAATACCCTCCCCTACTGTCTGCCCAAAATCTCAATGCAATTAAAGTATTTTCTTTATCTTCTTAACCTGTTGCTCTCTCCATCTGGTTACCTCCATCTGGTACATTGTAAACAAGAATTAATTGTTAATTCATTAATTGACATCGTTTTGTTTACAATTTCAGCTATAATCTTAGTAGCAGTAAGTCAGGTGCTATACAACACTTACATTTCTTATTCTAATGTTCATACCTGTTGGGTTTTCAATTCAAATTTTAATATCCTATATTTAATAATTTATATATTTATTTTATATTTTATTTTTTGGCTTTTAAGTTTATACGGGGGGAGGGGGGTTTCAGTTTATTTACTTCATTTAGTTAAATTATTATTGTGATTACAAGTAGAAAAATCAGCAAAAAGTGAAGGGAAGGACTAAGAGTAACAGGTGAAATGACACCTACTGTAAAAACATCCAATCCCCAGGTTGCCTGTTGTTTGTTCAAGTCAAAAATTATAATTCTCTTATCATGATTCAGTGATGATAGATAAGTTTGTAATTAAATTGCTATCTATCTGGATTATTTATATAGTGTTCTGATAATATTTATCAATAAAGATAAATTCATCTGTGTCTCAAGTATGTATGTGTTACTGTTAAATCTTTAAAATTATTTTTTATGAGTACAATAATCTTAATATTACATTAATAAAGGGATATGCAATTTGCAATTATAAAGTATAAATACTATAATGTTGTTATACATTTAATAAAATATATTGCATCACTCTGGTATAACCATAAACTAATGGAATTATCCTGTAGGAATTTATTCTTAATATTGCATCAGCCAATGGAATTAATTCTGACAGCCAGCTGTAGTACTGTATAGGAAAAAGATACAAATATTAAAGAACTGTGATTGGTTGAACCATGGAAACACTGCAGACTGGTATCTGTGATTGGTTAAGAGTGTGATAACATGTTGCTTCTCTACAAGTCGCCAGTTGTCCACAGCTGTTGGAGGGGATCAAATTGCATGCTGGGGCATTCTTCGATTTCCCATGAGCATCGGCTTTCACAGGACGTAATTCCGCCAATGAGTGCCTCTAGAATTGTCATGTATGATTATGGTACTACTGCTTGTGTTCAGCAATTTAAAATTCTACGAACATAAGTACTATTCTGCACGACTAAAAATAATTCAAAGTTCAAACTGCCCTTTTGAGCTAACGAAAACAAACTTTACCTAATTAAAATTTACATAAATATTTACTTAAATATTTTGGTAGAAAACATGCATAATCTGTGCATTAAACTGCTTTCTGTCTAGTTTTATACTTTAAATAATGAACAAAATTAATATTTTTTTTTGTTTTTTGCTTTCACAACAAAAAGTTAAAAAGTGTTTAGTTACTAATTTCTAAAGCTAACTTTATGTTATTCTCTGTTGCGTCAAACAATCACTCAAGGGAGTAATTATCCTCATTACTCTAGCATAAGATTTGTTATTTTCTCCTGCAAAAAACAGAAAAGAAATAAAATTAATGAAATCGTTGACATCATCCACCTACAGCTGTGCAGTCTATTAAGCTTCTACATATAGTACATATTGTATGCCACAGCAGCTTGCTGGAGTATTTACAAAAGACACATCAGATGGTAAATTTTGCTAACATTATACGTGTGGACTTTTAGCAGTTGTGATTTTGCTTTGCTAAAATTAGACTTGCAAATGACAATTATCGTGGGGTGTTTTTTTGTGTTTTTTTTTAATTGGCTGTTGCATAATATAGTAGATATCAAAACTATATTTTAAATATAATTTTAACTATTTTTTTTATATTAAATTACTATATTATGAAAAATCTTCAACCAATCAGAATAAGATGTAATGTCACATGACCTTACAATGTCAGTTTTTGAAGATGTTCTAAATGTGACCTTGCAATGTCCTTGGCATGTGTTTGGAAGTTTAGATGGAAAAACAGACTAATTCATTTCTATTCCCACATGAGACTGGGAAGCAATATAGCTTCCTGTGAGTAAATGTTATAAATGTGTCTGACACAATACATAATGTAACGCTTTGTTCCTAACTTGACCTATTGCAATTGCTAAATTCATTATATAAGATTTGTATCAGAAGACTTTCTTCACAATACATGGTAAAATTGTATTTTATTACTTTACAGTGCATATTAGGCTATATATAAAAAAATGCAGAAAGTAAAACTCATCATCATTCACGTAATACACAAAATCAGTTTTTATTACCAACACTCAATTTACACATTCCATATGCTAACATCTGTTTGAATTAAAATAGATTCAAAATGAAATATGTAATATTTTATAAACTTGACATTTAAGAGTTAAAGATGTACTGTCCCTTGAAAATGATCATAAAAAAATAATTTTTAAATTAACTTGCTCATTTTGCAGTAACATACAAATTATTAACTTGAGCATAGAAATTATTAAATTAAAAAAATGTGTTCCCTGATTTTTCAACTGGATAGTGACTGGAAGTGTTTCTATCATTTTTTTTGGCTGTAAAATGATGGTTTTTATGGGTAAGCATTTTTTAAATACACTAATTTCTATGTTCAAGTTGATAATTTTTATGTTACTTCAAAATGGGTAAGTAAATTTCAAAAATGATTTTTATGATTTTTTTGTGTTTTTTGCAAGGGACAGTACATCTTTAATTGTATATATTCTGTAAATTGAGATTTCCAAGAAGGATAGATTTTTGCACTGTTACCATTCAAGAGTAAATTTAATTTAATTTAAATTTTCTTACACTACAGACAATTGTTGGTAATTTGAAACTCCTCAAGGATTGCATTATCTTATTTGTGGCTTCCTTCTGTCCTTGCTTACACATTGTTCTGGTAAAGCATTTTGGTTAGTGGTTAAAATTTGAATATAAAAGAATAGGAAATGTTAATGGATAGTGCATTTTACTTATTTAAAAAATATTTTTTGTTAAAATCATAAGTATTTTTGCTAATAATTATGTGAACTTCGGCAACAAGTTTTAAGGTAAAAATATGTTTCATTTTTTGGTTTTTCATTTAAATAATTAGAGACAAAGTATAAAGGTATTTTAATATCATACTGTGCCAACATACTGAATAAATTTCCACACAAAAAAAAGAACAAAACCGGAATATAAGTTTCATATCAAATGTGGTTGCTATCTCAGCAGGTTTTATAATAACAAAAATATGTTTTGCCCTTTGTGTTGCCATATTACATGTTTCATGGAAATTGTTAATAATTATAGCAGAGCCGTGTTGGTTTACGCTCTCATATTCCACGCACGAACTGCACCATATGTTTCTAACATAAACACAAGCCTGTTAAATATCAATTCTAGTCTAATCCCTATATTTTTAACCATTCCATAAGTTTTTCAAATTGTATCTTTATAGGTTTAGCTTTATGTACTTGTTTTCAAATATTATATTCTGTCGCACTCATTTTTTTAATTTTGTTATAATTAGTTACTTCCAGGTATTTCCATGTACCTTGTGGAACTCGATGATAAAGTGACATTAATAATCTGTGTTGTTACAACTGTTTGTGATTTGTTCCTTTACTATTAAAATTAGTTCCATATATGCCTATTAATCTTAGTTATAGCATTTTATACCTCCATGGTTGTAGACAGCAGCTTTAAAAGAAAAATTATAAACCAGAATACAAATTTAGATTTGTTTTTATTTTATGATAAATTAATGTGTTCCATTTTTTATGTCTTTCAGCCCTTGTCAGAGCATTTGAGTGACTTACCATCAGATCTCTTACAACATCTCTTTGATGACGACCCGCTGCTGTCTAGTAAATGTATTGGAGAAGATGGAAGTCTTTCTCCCAACCCACATATCCAGACAGACCACAGCTATTCCATGACAAACGAAATAGGCCTACAATCACCCCTCATGAAGGATATTGAACTTGAAGGTAAAGATAATTTGGGGGATTAAAGGGCTGCTTTTATTTAATACCTTTAATCTGAGTAATTTCTGCATCTTTAGCTTGCAGATTATTAGGACAGTCTAAACTGCTTAAAATGAGACATTCTTCTACCATAGAGAAATGACTGTTTTTGAAAAACTCAACTACTATGATCCAATTTGAATTCAGTATTCATATTTTATCACAGGTTTAAAAATATCTGCAATATTAAATTAGTTATTAACAATTCAGAATACTTTGTTTGCAATGTTTTGATCTACAGTAGTAATAATAGCTTTATTTCTATACAAGCCTAAATTATAATATTTATAATTATAAAATATGTCACCCATCCGCTTTGAAAATGCATAACCGTTACTATGGAGGCTAGACTCTGATTTTCAATCATCCATTGTTTTCTAATCAGTTGGTATTTGTCTTTAAGTTAAAAGCATCATAGGTAGAAAGTAGTAGTGGGCCTTATATTCCTTTAGGCCTAAAAGAATTACTTGAACCTTGCAAAATGCTACAAGCTATAAAGCAAAAGGCTTGGTCATTTGATGCCTATAATTTTAATTTATGCTAATGATATGTATATATTCATTCATAAAACCGTTTTGATAGGCATATTCTAGCATTTGATAACTGATAATATAAATTTGATGCATATTCAGCTTCATATTTTAGATTTTGCATATTTATTTCAGTCAATAACGTAAAAATGCATTCGTGTACAAGCCTTTTTAGTAGATTTGTTGAATTATATTAATTATCTGTCTAATCAATTCAAATTAATTACTTTTGTCCACAAATGTCCAAAAAATCTAGAATCGGTTGGGTATAGTACTGTAAAAATGAAGACAACACTTTAGAAAAATATACACAATTTTGTAGCAGCTTATTCATATGTGATAGTACTTAAAGAAGTAAGAGGGTTAGTAGTAAAAGGTTGTGTTATCAATGTACAGAGACACTGTTCTATAGACATGGTTACTACAGTGTATTTGTATACATTTTATGATCACATTTTAAGATAGTAGTGTAAATAATTGTAGGCTGTTAATGACAGGATATGAGGGGGCTGATGTTATCATAAACACTTGTCCACTTCTTCCTCTAGACTTTGAAGCTAGTGAAATCGACGTTGAATTTCCTATGGCAGAGCAGGAAACTCCAACGGCAAACCCAGTCAAGCAAGAACAAATCGGTGACATCAGATATATCCTCCGTGAAGCTGTTCCCATAACAACTTCCGCTGTACAACTTACGATTCAGGCTAAACCACACAACGAACTTGCAAAAATTAAACTGGAACCACATGACACAGGTAGGATAATATATTATGTATAAGACAAAGAAAAAACATCTTGAATATAATCATGCTATTTATAATGGTAATTTAGATTTAAATTGATTATATTTTGTTTATAATTTGAATGAATAAGTTAATAAAAATGTTATAATTTCTTTCAACCACATTAGTGAACTTAATAGACCAAGTACAACTCCCACCAAGCCCACCCAGCAGCAATAACAGTGACAGTGAAGGGGGTGCTAGCCCCGACAGATGCAGCTCAGTGTCCTCAGAATGCCCCAGCCCGACCTACATTTCACCACTCCCAAGGAAACCGATAGCGACAACCAGAACAATCACACAACCTATGTTTACAAACGTACAGGTTTGTACACCAAAAAAAAATCGTTTTTAGCAAGAAAAAAACTTTATACCTAATTAACAGGATATGTATGTATTGACAACTCATGAATAAGAGGTTGAAGTTTATACCCTTCAAGGTCATTTCCTGTTTTAATTACTGTATGATAAAAAATATCCATGGTTAAAATCAAGCATACAAATGTAGCCCAATATTATGCTAATTAAGTTGGATTTGCATTCTATTTATTGTCATGCAAGCCATGCAATGTTTTTCAAAAAGTAGGAAATAACAACATAAGTGGCACTTCCATATCAGTATGTCTGCAATGCAACCTTCTTTTTAATTACTAATATTTTTAAAATTTTGTTTTTGCAGAGGCTTCCGCAATCAGGACCACTTATTTTAACGGAAGAAGAAAAACGAACATTAATAGCAGAAGGATACCCCATTCCAAGCAAACTTCCTCTCTCAAAAGCAGAAGAAAAAGCACTCAAAAAAGTCAGAAGGAAAATTAAGAATAAGGTGAGGAAAAGTCCACACTTGCGCTTTCAGAATTTGCGTTTTTGAATGGAAATCATTGATTATAGTAAGAAACAATAAACTAAACAATGCTTTTTATATTCAGATTTCAGCACAAGAAAGTAGAAGGAAAAAGAAAGAGTATGTAGAAGCATTAGAAAGAAAGTGAGTAGTCATGATGTGTTTAATGTACTGTAACATTTGCATCTGACAGATTCGTATATTTAGACATTCTTACGAGACAGGAATCCGAAGTAGTGTATCTGCCGCCACCGATTGATAGATCCCCTGTGGGAAGATTAGGCTCTTTATCTCCAGGCACCAGTGATCGGATAGATTTCCTGATTATATTTCCTCTCCCAAATGGTGTAGAAAAGATTCCATTAATAATGTTTAAGGTGAATATTTGTGGGTGGTATTTTTTAATCCAAAGCAAACATTAGCGCTTAATATAGAATTAATGCTTGAAATCTTTTTATTGTGCTTTAACTAGTGAGTTAATAACTTACCTATAACAAATTGACTGAGAATAGAAGTGTTATTTTCAGTGCTGCTCTACACTGTGTCTAGTTAAAAGCACTTAAAGTGTTTATAGTACTTTTGCAATTCTGACGTTCTGCCATGTTTTTGATATTGTGATGTAGTTTTTTTCTTAAAATCGTTTAGTATTTATGGTATTGATTTTTCAAGTGTACTAGTGTTTGATATTGCATTATTGGTCCCCATGTGTTAAAATAAATTGAAAGAAATTGAATCAATTTAATTGTTTTGTTTTGAACAGCAAATAAATGTGATACTGTACTTATTTAGTCAATGGCTGTTAGGCTATAGATTTGACCTAGCTGCCTGATTTGATGAGATATAGACTGCACTTGTCTTTTTTTTTCGAACCAACTCAACAAGTAGAAAAAATTATAAATTTATATGTCAATGCTAACAAATCAAATGTGCTTTTTTTGTACCTTAAATATAGAATGGAACAGTATACACAAGAAAACACAGACCTAAAGAAGCGAGTTGACTCGCTTGAAAGCAACAACAAAACACTCGTCACACAACTCACAAAACTGCAGTCTATCGCAAATAAAATTTCAAAACCAATCCGAGCTACTTCCACACAAACAGGCACTTGCCTGATGGTGAGTTTCCGAGACAATTAATCCTATTTTTAGCTCTGAAATCTTAGTTACTTTCCACTTCCTGTGTGTACAATTGAAATTTGATAAACTACTCATGTTTATGTATATTTACTTTGGAGTTGACAATTTGTATATATCTTAATTTTACATTATATTTTAATGTATATAGTATGTATGTATATATACATATATATTACTCAATCTTCTCAAGTGTTTACACACCACAGACATCTGTTCCGTGTGTGATAATCAAGTGGAAACTAACTATGATGTGATTTCCTTTAGACTTAAGTGTAGTCTGCAAACTCTTCTTAATCTCTTCGTTTGATTGGTTAACTGCATGTGCCTCTTGTGAATTGGCAGCCATTTATATTTTCTAATGCATGTTAAGAAACGCACGCCTATTTTGATACAACTTATAAATAATTTGAGTTTGTAAAAAGTTTTAAATAACTGCATTTGATAACACCTAATATAATACACACTAATAAGATAATATATCTTAATGAAATATAAAGATATTCTTAATAAATGGATTATATATATTTCTTTTAATTACACTTGGAAGATGGACTATAACCATTTTAAATCTGTTGGGCGTGTATTTGAATATACTCTGAACAAATAATTAATAATGTTGGGTTCAAATTACTTACAATCCTGGATTTCTAAAACAAATTTTTCAGAGAATTAGATTAAACAAAATTTGTGGTAAACAATAAAAGCTTGTTTGTAATTTATTCTTCGACATTTTACTATGACAAACAAGATCCTGTATTTCAGACAGAAACGTATCATTCATTAGTTGTCTACAACAGCTGTCACATTGTATTGATTTTATGAAGGATGGAATCCTCCCTCGCATTTTGATATGTGCATTTTATTTTGTTGTTTGGCACCTGTGAAAACATGGCTTAGTTCCACCGTGGAAGAACGCCTGGTTGATTATTGATTTTGTTAATGCAACAAGTTTGGATACCTGTTGAATAGAGAAAAAATTATAAAGCTAATAATATTTTGAAATAGCATATTTCAGCATATTATAATATTGAAAAAATTACTTAATTGAAAAAAATGAAAAATTACTTAAAACAGTAATATTAGTTTACTTCTGTATTGAAAATCTTTATGAAATTGAATGGAATTGATTTAATGATTATTAGAATTTATGTTCACACATGTATTGAAAATATTATATGAAAATCTATTCTCTTTTATGTATTCAATCCTGTCTCCCCCAATTAGTAATACAACAAATTCATAAAGTATAATAAAAAAACGTAACTAATTAATATGGTCTTGTAAGTTTTTGTTTGCTGTGTTAATACTTTTTAGTTTATATCATTTTGTGGTGTATACGCTTATTTCTATGCAGTATCGATTACGATGTAAAAACAGAAGGTGACCCAAAGGACGAGAAAACCAGCAAGAAATCCCTCGGTTCTTCCACCCTTGACCTCAGGTGCAGTATGCAAATATGGCTGTCTTATTCTTTTTTCATTTTTCTCACTTCTGATGTACACATTTGCTATCATTTTTTAATTGTTAGATAGCAGTGGTCGTTGAAATCACTGGTGTTGGTATGGCAGAAGAAGAATTAATATTTATTGTTTCTGATACTATAATATTTTTTCATATTTTCAATCTATTTTTTCTTTCTATCTACTTTCTTCCTAAAGCAGCATTTGCATACTGCATCATAGCTATCTGCTAGTACTTATAAAGTTTAATAATTGCTTGGATGGTTGTTTGTGTTGGATTATTAATACTGCTTGTCCTACTTGTGTATTGTCTTTTAGCTAACACAAATTGAATCAGCCTTGTCTGAATTTGATTACTGTTTGTGTCTGCCCTCTTGCTTATATTATTTGTGCGATATTTTATTAGCTTCCTTTTATGTATCTGATTAATATAACATGTCTAATAGTATAGCACAAATCACTTATTTCTTATGAAGCATGATCTAATAAATAAGGTATAATTAAATTTACTTACTACTTCATCGAATACTGTAGAGTGAATACTCTTGATAACCTTTAACCTCTGTTGTAATACCTAATTTGCATAAGCACACGCTGGTTGCTATTGGATACATTTCAATTTTGAATTATCAACGCAATTGTGATGATAATTCAAATCCTGAGAATGTAACAGGTGTCAGCTGCACTTATACCAAATATTGCTTTTAAATAATTTTCCAACCCAGTTTGACCTTTTAATTGATAGATAATATAATTTATGAAATTTTCCTGTTGAACTGTACTTTTAAATTGATACTAAGTATCATTTACATAAATTGTAAAGTAGATTTTTAGTCATTATACTGCCAAAAATTCAAATTTTTACTCAAAATATAATTTTCTTTCAAATCTGATTGTGAAGATTATATTAAACATGTTTAAAAATCAGAAAAAAAAGTTATTTTTTATTCTGTGTATTATTGTAACTATACAATCTATGATAGTCTTATTATATTTGCTGAAATTTAAGTTTACTGTGAAAACTATAGAGGGAGTTATTTACCATGTAGCTGTTCATTTAATTGCATTTCCATTTTCTGTGCCATTATCATTGTAATAAAATTATTCTGTTTTATTTAATTGTTATATCATTTGTATCTCTGCAGGTATTTGTTTTCTGCTTTGCTGTTTTCCTTGGGAGCTGGTCTCCCTCTTTAATATTTAATCGACCCAGTCATTCCACAATTCTTCCTCCCAATCCGAACTTGATGAAACACGCTCACTCAAATGCGCAGCTGAGACTTCCGTATGGCCCTGCACCTCCTCCGTCGTTTGCCTATGACCCATACACAACTCCAAACAGTAAGTCATAATGCTAATTTTCTTCAATGTAACTTACAAAGTATGAGTACATCCCCATTATGATTGCTAAATTACAGGACCCTCCATGTACTGAGAACTGATAAAAGTATTGGTTGTAACTGTCTTTTAAGCTTCTGTAGTGGAAATAGTATTTATAATTCATAAGGTTTGAAAAACCATCAATTATTTTGGTAACAGCCATTTATTTTAATTTCTCATTAAAACAATAAACTAGGTAATACTAAAAAAGTAACCATATCTATTTACAGTATAGTATTCTATTAATGTGAATATACAATTAAATTTTAATAAAATTATGTTTTTTTTTTCAGTGAATTCTAGAATGCTTATGTCAACAGACGAGGAGAGCAGTGAAACGTTCAGTGAAAATTATCCGTACATGACGCGACTCAACACCCTCGACAAAGTCCTACAGGAGTCTGGATACAACCACCGGTCAGCACCACATAAAATGGTTGCAATGGAGCCGCCTGGTTTCCCTCTTCCAGAGGTCATTATCGAGGAAAAGGTCACAAATGATGACAAATACACAATCAATGGATCCAAGTCACACTTCAGTGCCCACCAGTCCAATGGTCAGTCTATAATATACACAGATATGGAAGCTGAGGTCATTTCAGTTGAGACAAGAATCAATGGTTCCTCCCAATAAAGGTCAAAGAGGTCATAGTGTGCAAGATTAAAATGTCAGCCTTGAAATTCTTTTCATTTATGAAATATTTTCTCCCAAGTCCTGTATAGTAAATAGTATCAATTTATGAATTTTCTTTTGAAAATAAAACACTGGATTTTATGTGGGTCAAGTAGAAATTAAGTTTCTTATTTTTTCTCAAGCAGTATCCAAATGTATTAAGATGTTTTAAAACCAATCAAAGATGATATTTTAATCTTGCAAACAAATTCTATATATTTAAAAGAATTATTTTAAGGCCAATGAACAAAGAAATATTTAAAAAAATAAACAAAATAACTTTTAAAAGTTTTATTTATGCATGCATATATGTTAATATTTTATTGCTAAGTCTGACAAAGCCACTTCATTTTTTCACTCATTTGGGAGGTGATTTTTTTGTTTTTTTAGATTATAAGTAATTCATCTGTAAAATCCATGTCTTCCAGAATTTAATAGACTTGGAAATTGTTTCCACGATAACACAAGTCAAATGAATTTAAAATTGTAAATAGTTTTAAGTATTATTTTAATTCATTTATTAGCAATTGTATGGAACTCCATACTGCCATTACATTCAGTGCAGAGGTGCACCAAATATTTTGTAAAAAGAAATTTCAAGAAAAAGAAAGATATAGTGAATGCTAACAAGATTTTATTTGAAGCTTACCTGAAGAAGTTGCCTTTGAATTGCTTCAGTTTTTCATGGCAAAAACAGTAACCAAAAAAAAATGAACCACTATATGAATTGACAACTTTTTGAGAATTGTCTAATAATATATTTCTCTTTGTAAATAAAATTGATACATAAACAAATTTACTTTGTTCATTGTCTTGTTGAGTTTCCTTTTCTACAATCCGTAAATGATATAATAAGCAGCTCCGTTGGATAAGCATCACTCCAGAAAGAGCGCTGTACCAAACATTAATTTTTTTACTAAGTGGCGCTCTTCTATAAGCGTCGCTGTATTCATTTTTAATATTTTCTATTTTGAAAAAGAACAGTTAATTGAGAGTACATATATTTTACGGTCATAATATCTTGACCTTACAATTACACGCTGTGCCAACATAATGGTATAACCTCAACTCTGATGTCAAATGTTTTATTTTTATTAAATAATTTATGTATAAACCTAGTTTAAATTTGAACCGCTTCAAATCCGATCAGCACTAAGTTATGTGCACTGTAAGGGCTGGTGAACCCAGCAGATACATATTTCACAGAACCAATATACTGACCCAGTACCAACAGGACACAGAAGCAACCAGACTATCTATGTTTGCAAATGCCACTTAAAACCTAGTTTAATGCTTAAATAATATTATTTCTGACTTTAATTCATTATAGGCTTAGTTCTGGCATAATTCACAACATTTAAGGTTATAAAAATGATGTTTCATTTCATTTTATTTATTTATCCCAAAGGACAATAAAATTGATAAAAAAAAAATAGTAGAGAGAGGGAAAAAGATGCTCTCAATAGGCCAGACAGCATTGCCAAAAGGTGAACGAAATCATTGTCTGTGGCTATCCGATGTTGGGGGTTAGTGACAGGATACAGATGCCTATCAAAAAATGCAGCCGAATATTCCTCTTTCTTTTGGTAATACAGTAGTGCTGAAGACCTTGTAAATACTAACTAAAATCTGAATGATGTATCATTTTGTTAGAGCGGCGCTACGGGGGTGGGGAAGGGGGGTTGAAAGGGGAATTTTTTCCCACCCCCAGAAAATGTTCTTTCCCCTCCCCCATTTTGCCCACTCAAAAAGGAAGAAAAACCACAATTCGTCGGGGACAGAAGAAAATTGTATGTGTTTTCTTTAGTAGACTATCTAGGCCTATATATAAAATCGATTGAAATAAGCCTTCTTTTGTCCCTGGACCACTTTTGAAACATTTTAATCGACGCCCGACCATGCCCACTTTGCTCTCGTCGAGGACTTTTCCCCAAAAAATTTTGCTCATGATGATCAGTAAATCGTGTCGTCATAATGTTTCGTAATTTAATGAATGACAATACTACGAATCTACGTCAAAAAGAGTTTTATCAGTGACGTAGGTCTACTTTTGTGGCTGCCCTTGACAAAAATAGTGTTTACATTCAAATTATTGGGTTACTTTAAACGTGTATATTACAGGAACCCGGACATGAACTGCCTGTTGTGTACCTTACTTTTGATGGTGCAGATATCTAAAGTGGTACGGTGCTGTTATATATAGGCTAAGGTACCGTCTGACGTAGGCAAGTCCAGGAAATGGTCGGAGTCGACGTCGGGTGCTTCCTTCCTATAACTTCTTAATAAAGGCGCCATCTGTGATTAGCTAAACAGATTATGAATTTGGAAAACCTTTTGTTCTTACTGTCATTGAAAAACTTTAGAAAGCTAGAGTAAACATTGCGTATTTGTATAGATAGCCTATTTAGTAACAGCTACTTAAAGAAACCAAATTATTATATTAAATAATAATATGCTTGGACCTCTTAATATTAAATCACTCGTAGATGGTCTAAAACGTATTATAAGTTGACGCGCTCCCGTGTCAATACATAATAATTCAATATTACTAGAGTATACCCATTAGCCTACCTTTCAAAGTATTCAATTTGCTGACATGTTACTGTGTTATTTTATTACTCTATCATCCTAATTTTTTCGCCACCCCTCCCCTACCCCATTGGAGGTGTAATTTTCGTTTACTCTAGGCCCTACTTCTGAGACTCTGACTCCGGGAGGGGGGCGTGGTGGGAATGAGGCGGTACGACAAGCCTGCCCATGAAATTGACGCTGCGCGTCTAAAATGTTGGTGTGGCTCTCTTTCAAATAGGCCTGTCATTCGAACCTTCCCCTACTGCTGCACCCCTACTCTTAATAAAGATCAAAATCATACGCCATCTTCGCATATATTCTATTATATAAGAAATAAATATATTAAAATATATATTTCCCCTCGTTGTACAGAAAAGGGTCTCCTTCATATGGGTGTCCCCTGATTGGTCCGAATAGCTGTGTCTCAACAAAGAGGTTCTGGTTCTGGTTATTAATAAAACCGACATCCTAAGGACTCCAAAAGTGTAGGTGTATTAATACTGTATATTAATAGGCGATTATCAGTGGAGTCAAGACGAATCTGTACTGTGAAGAATTGCGTGCTTCAGAATAAATTACTCATTCTGTTGGAATTACTTATCAAAATTATCAATATACACGGAAAGTTCTTGAATAAAAGTACAGTACAGTAATGTTTTCCCAAAGATGTATAAATTATAGAGGGCAGCAAACACACTTTTGGTAAGCCACTTTTAAGATTTAATCTCTTGTCAATCCGCACCAGTTAATCTGGAGACCTTCTTAGACGGCGGACAAAAAAGCTCCTTTCAAAGTAAGATATAAAAATATGGAGACGATGGTAAATGAAAATACAGACATCGATAGTAGACTTGAGGAACACAAAAATATTTATTTATTAGGTTCACGGATATTTCGGTTGTTCCTACAAGCTTCTTAGCGTGTAAGTGAAGACATAATCAAATAGCTTTGACAGATCATCTTGTCACATTAACATAATGTGGGTGTATATCTAAAAGAACATATAGTTTATAGTTTATACATGGCACTGTTATATATATATATATATATATAAGTTTCAAAGGCAAATGGGAAAAACCCATAAAACAGCAAACGGCCATATAATGCAAAACAATTTAAAATAAAATTAAAACTGCTAGATACGCCACTGTCCTGGAGGTATTAATACCTCCATGGTCCTACCAATTTATTAATTTGTAGCCTAACGTTAATTTGGGATTAATTAATATTAACTAATATCATATATCTATTTGAGTTAATCAATTAATAATATGAAATAATAATAACGACACAACCGAGAAAATTAAATGAAAGTGATATCATAATGTTGAATAAAAGAAAATGAGACGAAATGAAGAACCCATGTGTTTTGTTCTGGACACTCAATTGATTGTTTTGTTTAGCAATGTACCACTGAACCTAGCAACGGAAGTCCGTTTCGCTTTGTGTCGTGCTTTTCAGTAAAATAGCCTTTTTAAAAACAATTAAAAAGTAAGGTATTGTTTACGATAAATCATATGAGTTATATAAGGTATTGTATGTTGCCTTATTATAGATAATGACGTACCACGCTACCGTAAATGGGATCATTAGGAGCTAGGCCTAGGCTGGCAGCCATCATCATGGAATAAAAAATGGTCTCGCCGGATGCGTTGCCTCACTAAAATCAAATTGTAAACAAATACAAACATTAGCAACAATATGGTGCCTATACTACTATAGTGGTGCACTTTGGTCTTTTACAAGATCCGCTTCCACTTATTCTTCCTGATCTAGCCTAGGTAAAAGGCCCATCTATATAAAATTGTTTTAGTGAGGAAAATATCCAATCGTCATTTGTTGACAAGTGGTAATTGAAAAAATGACATTCATAAAACAAGGTATTTTAAAACCCAAAGAAAGTCAATTCAAAATTAATTTTATTGTGAAAAGCGCTCTACAAATACCCTACCATTGGCATTACAGTATTATGTATGAAAAATTGAGGAATTTCTAGAATCAATGGATCCTAATAAACTAAAGAAACTGAACATTTAATAGGAATATTTGAGGCCTATCTAGGCCTAGACCTATTTTATTCAAAGATGCAAGGAACAAATTTAGTAAGCATAGATGAAATCATTACATGATCTTACCTTACCTTTACCAAAAGAGAATTTTTTATATCTTTGAGGAATAATATAATAAACTCATGACAATTTCTTCAAACACAATCAAATATTATTCATCGTCTGCAGCTGTGTAAACGTACATAATAGGCCTACTGTTTCAACTGTACTAGCATGTACTGCAGCAACAGTCCGCACGCACAGATAAATGTATGTGCACAGATATACTGATCATATCAGTATAGCAACCAATGACTACTACAACAGTTTGATTATAAAACTAACATTGAAAAACAGTGATTGACTTATAAAGCAATTAGAATAGGGCTTATCTATACACTGTAGAAATTGTTATACTTAGATTAATGCATGAAATAAATTCCTGATAGCCTGCAAGGCCTGTAGGAATTTTTTTCTTACATAAAATCTAACCTATGTATAATAATTTCCACATAAGTATAATATGCAACTATTCTAATTGATTAGTATTGCCTAGGCTGGAAAATTTCTGCACCTCCTTTGATTATTTATTTTAAATTTAATGCTCTACTTTACAGATAAGGTAGGCTAGCCAGCCTAGACCCAGATCAATTCAGAATGAGTAGCACTTCATCAAATGTTTCAGTGGAAAGGTTAATCAAGACCACTCAACCCAAGCAGCATGTAGAGGAAACCAGGGCCTACACTCCTGATACAGTACTCTCGGAGTTACAACTTGAGCCAGACATCACCGTCCTCTGCAGGATCTGTGCCAAGCGTATAAATATTAGGCAAATACAAAATCATCGCTCCTACCATGATGCATTGCACACCTTGGAGTACAAAGATAACAAGAAACCAGCAAATGTAGATTCATTACTGGCACGTAGGCAGTATTTGGTTAAAAAAGCACCGCAATCGAATATAGCAATCATCCAGAAAGTAAATGATGCGTATGAATTAGTTAAGTCTGTTTTGCAGGGAACCTTTGATGACCTGCGTCAGGTTAATGAGCCAATCAAAGTAGAATGCATGGGACAACCATTAAACTGTAGTGCAAAGTGCATACATGCTATGAGCATTTGCTCAGATGGTAATGAAAGGTGGAAATCCAAAATGGAAGATACATACGTCTTTCAAGATTTCTTTGGTAATGATATAAATAAATGTTTTTTTGCCGTCTATGACGGTCATAATGGAAGATTTGCTGCTGATATCGCTGCTTACGATTTTCATCATTTCTTGTTAAATGAAATGACAAAATTTGATGCTAACACTACCTGTAAATGCACTGTGAACCATGCTGGCAAAATTGACATTGAGGATTATGGCATCGACAGGAAGCCTGCACGGAATATCCGTAAGGAGAGCATACGGCATATTCTCCATGAAGAAAGTATGAATGTCATCCAACAGATTATGCACACGTGCGAAGAGAATGTTCAACAACTGAAGGAAGACAACAATCCTGATTGCCATCAATCACAAAAAGGTGCTAAGAAAAAACGAGTCAAAGACCCCTTTTCAGAAAAGATGGAGATAGCTTTACAAAAAGCCTATGTACAGACCGATAACATATTGAAGTTTGGTATTGATGAAAAGTCCCGTGTGAGGTGGAGTGGGTGCTCCGCGGTAACTTGTGTTATCGAAAGTACCCGCAACACAGAGTTGGATGAAGTGACAGAGACTGTTGACAGCGTAATAGGAATGCCATTACCGCAGGAAAGAGGACTTCTATATATTGCTAATTCAGGTTCGTTACTGGTGATTCTAGAGTTTATTATAATGCTTATAATAATATGTTAGTAATAATCATCATCATCTGCTCGCTTTATCGTAATCTGTAGTAATAATACCGTAACAATGAAATAAAGCAATAGATAAATAGAATTTCCAGTAAAACTTCCCCCACTGTTTAATTGGGTATTTGCCATTACGCATAAACAGTGGAGATTTACCATTTAATTGATGAAATATGTAGCTGAGCAATTGGTTGAGAGGTATTGTTGCTGCTTCTTGTGCTGAAGACCCCGATTCAATCCCGCCCAGTGTTGGGTTTTAATTGGAGTCTGATCGCTTGGCTGCGAATCCTCGAATAACCCTCATTTTGAGAGTTAGGCGGGTTAAGGACGATGTTTATAACCATACTGTATGTCCGTTGTATGTCCAAATTTCCGATTAGAATGAGGACAAATAAAAATTATGATTACTATATGAGCAATTAGCATAATGCACAGGTACCAAATTAATTAATAGTCTCCGTTTTCATATTTGAACCCTTAAAAACTCCTGTTATGGCATCGAGCAATAATTACTTTATTCCTCCATGGTTATGGTAACAATGAATTTACTACCACACCCACCACCACTATATGGGGAGGCTTATAATAACAGATACGGAACTGTTCTTTTTGATCAAATTTTGCTTTGCTTCTTTTGACAACAAATAATTAATTGTACTTTTTAGGTAATGTACGAGCAGTTTTGTGCAGGAATGGTAAAGCTTACAAGGTTACACGAGATCACATGCCAAGTAATTTAAATGAGAGGAATCGTGTGTTGAAAACCGGTGCTGAAATTAGAGTTAGTCAGAAAGGAGCAAGGATCAATGGTGTACTGGATACAACTAGAGGTTTTGGTATGTACTGTACACTACTAAGTTTAATAAAATGTAAGAAGTATAAAATTTCTTTATTTTATTTTATTTTTATTCCTTTCACATTCAACAGCATGTAACACGCCAATTACCGCTATCTCTTTATAAAGCTTAGGGCGTGGAGTTGTTTTCAATTTAAGGATTTTTGTAGTAAAAGAATGTCGATATGAAATATAAATAAATAATCAGTAATCCGTAATTGTTTGTTGCAGGAAATCATGGTGATCCCGAGCTGAAAAGGGCCGTAATTGTTGATCCATACACGACAACAGTTACCATTGATCAGTATGCCGAATTCCTCATTATCGCCACTAACGGTTTATGGGAAGTCTTATCCGAAGATGAGGCAGTGTCCATCATTTATGAAATGATACCCACCGATGAAATTCCCTCCCCTACTCCAGAGCACGTAGAAAACTTTGCACAGGCTTTTGAGTTCTCCAAGGCTAATGCGGGTAGGAAACTTGCTTGCAGCGTTAGTGAAGAGAGTTTTGAACAGGACGGTGGTAGAAAATGTAAAAAAAATGAAATGGAAGTATCATTAGAGTTGGATCAACGTGGTGAAAAGGTTAATGACTATAACGAAGCAGAAATGCATTTAAATGACGATGCAGACACGGTTAAAGGACACAATGCTGATTTTGAAAACATGGTATCAACGCTTATGGAAAATGATGACGGAAATGATGCCGACATTGAGACCTTGACAGAGTTGCATACAATCTACACCCAATCACAGCTCTCCCTATATCATCCGACGGAGAAAGAACTCTACAGGAATCTTGCCAAGAATATGAGTGAAAGACTTGTACAAAGCGCATTGCTTGCTGGCAGTCGAGATAACATAAGTGTTATAGTGATTCTTCTACCAGCCTGTAAAATATGATGCTCTTCTTAAGACATTGTATATAGTGCGTCGAAATCGTTGTTATTAAGCATTTTTTTATAGAAGGAGTGGTTTGGTGCAGCGGTTCCAGTTCTGCTTATCAATCACGAGGTCGGAGGTCCGATCTCTTGCTGTGAATTTCGCTTGTGTCCATAGGCAATGCCCTTTACCTATGGTTGTCTCTATCCACCCAGGCGACTTATATGCGCTATAAGTCGACAAGCATCATCATTATTATCTGCCAGGGGACTTGCCACCAAGTACACTACCATTATTCTTATGGTTAAATATGTGAGTGTACTCAAATGATAGTACTGTATAACATACGCTATATAATTAATTGTACTGTAAAGAAAATGTTAATGCTTAATTGGCATAAGATTTAATAACATACTTCAGTGTAGTCCTATGCATGTGACAAAACAGATGCAGAAACTAGTCAATTTTTGTGGTACAATTTAATATCAATGATATGGTATTCTACATAAGTCTATCCATAGAATATTATATTAGTTGCCGAAAAGCACAAACGAGATGTAGCTATTGCAACATAAAATAAAACAAACTGACAATCTATTTTTCTTGTACAAATTTGATCTGTTATAATATAATGTGTATACATATGTAATTCTTCCAGATCTGATTGGCTGCACTTAACCACGCCCACAACCACATAGATTACATTATGGGTATCAGCCACACAGCATGTACGAATTGGAAAGAGAACAACAGTTCTAAAAGGGAGTGCTTAGGCCAAGCATCTCTTCACAATACTACATACAGTTGATGTACCCATATTGAGCAATATTTACAAGAGTTGTAATCAGACAATGTATCATTTACAATAGTGGTGATCTTTTAAGCATGGGAGTGAACACCAACTGATGTGGATTTTTAAAAGCTGACGATTACAATTTCTTTACGACACATGCAACATGCATCCTCGGCAAACATACTTTACAAAATTGAATCCACCTAAATATTTGACCGCCAGAAAAAAATACCCAAGTACTCCATCAATGGTTGTCTCCAAAGTATAATTGGTTTTGCCTTGTAAGCTACAATCGCTATACAAAGCGGGCATGGTAAATAGAAAAAAAAATTCAAGAGTGTAGCATGATATTTAGATTTCATTTTAACACTTTACATTCTTAATTCATTACATTTAAATGATAAATTTTACACTTTTTATGACTACAGTAGTAGAACAGAAATCTAAACTAAGTGTTACCATCTCCCTTGTAGAAAATCTATCTTACTTTATTTGTAATAAAAGATAACAAATTAAATTTCCAGACATAATAATTATATATATATATATATACTGGTATACTAGCATAAAATAGAATAATGATTTTGCATGACACCATTAATTTTTATTGACATTGGGTGTTGCTTAATTACTGTATTGACTTCCAATATGAATTTAAGTATCAATATGTACTTATTACCATTTTGTGAATGAACTAAACCTAGGAAAATAGCAACACTACATTATACTCATCTCATTGGGTCATGTACAAACATGACCTAATAATCTTATCTATGTTATACGCAAGAATAACTTATTCTGCTCAAATTATTTAGCAATGAGATTTCTTTGAATGTGTTAGATAAATGGTATAAGAGTGCCCTCTATCCCTCTACCTGACTTCATATACGTACCAATAGATGCAACCGAAGATACTAGAAACAGAAGATAGAACTCTTGCATAGTTAAAGTGAAGCTGAAGTACGTCGTAGCTATTACGCATCACCAGATGGCACCCATTTCTGTCCAATAATGACAATTTTTGTAAGCTGTACAGGCCACCTCATTTAATTGAGCACCGCACAAGGCTGGAGGTAAACTTACGTTTAATATGCGCGCTTTGCAAATTGGCGATTCAGTTTTCTTTCTGCAAAGAGTTCTATCTTGTGTTTCTAGTATCTTTGATGTAACTAAGAGATACAGCTCAAAATAAAGCCATATGACAATTACTTAAAATAATGATGTATACAGTATGCTAGGTTTACGACAAACTCAAATTAGTTGCCTACACCACAAAGCTCAACAAGTACACCACTTCGTCATTCACACCCAATTAGTTAATATGTTAATAATCAATTCAATTAAACATACATTTTTCACAGTTACAAGGGAAAAAAAAATTATAAAAAAGATTTCACATGTACTTTACAATTGACTTTGTCAGCTGTTTTTCATTCATTTTAATCGATCACCGACCGGAACGGTACAGATGCAGTGCGAAAATACCCTTTAAAATCACACGGTCACCAAATGAAGTATCGCAGAAAAAACACCACTGGCTTTAGCGTGATTAAATCTCAATATACAACATGCTTACCTACGCCGGATAATTTCTATTTATAACATCACTACCAACATCGTGTTCTGACATTAAGGATGTGGTATTTAACAGAAGGATAATACATAAAGTATACAGAGTATGAATCTGCATGATTTACAAGTACATACTTAATATCTAACTACACCCACCCACCTATATAAACGTATAGTAGAAATAGTTTTCTTGCAGTTACTACTATTTTCAGTGGGTGTCTACTTAGGAGCAGACAACTATCGTGATTGATAATTGTGAATAGAATTGGAGATTTGATTCCAGAACATTTAGTGAAAGGGCACCAGGCAATGAAAGCAGGTTTTCACAAGAAAACAACACATTGTCGGCAACTATTTGGAATTTTTTCATTAACTAATATTGTAGGGGGAAAATAAAATACTATTTTAAAAAATAAGTGGAACTGATGACCACTATTATTTGGGAAGGGGGAACGACAATTATTATTTGAGATGGGGATTTTCCAAATAAAAGTACAAAAATAGTAGACCTATGATATATCTACTATTAAACCGCCATCTTCAGACAACATAATAGATAATAAGCTAGTGCATCAGAGTGACAGAACAAGGTGACATGGAAAACACAGGATTGGGGATGGGATTGATAGGGAGAAAATGAAGGGGTGTCGTAATAAAAATGCAATTATGGAAGAGGGAAGTACGAATGAACACAAACCAAGTAGACTATCCTACTTGTGTATGATAAAGTTATTATATTTTTTAATATTTTCTCAGGGGTTAACACATTATTTCCCGTAATTGGGTTAGATGTTGGATACCTTAATTGTTTATTATCTTATTGAAGTAGCTGGGCTTTTTCATTTGGCACAACATGAACCTGATGCTTGTCCCCCCCTCTCATCTGGTACCACGACTGGACCACCTTGTCTCTGACCACCAGACTGGCCACCAGCAGGTTCGTTCTTCGGGAGCTTTTTTGCTGCAAGTGAAAATCATCAATAGTCTGTTACCTTAACAGTACAATGGACAGATTATACTTCAACAATGAGTGAGCATTAAGGGTTTTTCATAAATTAATAATTTGAGTAATAGTATCCAGGGGTGGATCCAGAGATGCCCGAAAAAGGGGGGGGGGGAGAGATTGAGATAACACTTTTTAAATTTATGATCCAATATGTAATTGCATCTTATTGATACCTGAATTTTTTAATCTTAAAACATTTCTTTTGTCAATATAATTAATGTTTGGAGGGGCACCTAAATTAAGTCCAACCATTTTTTTTTGTTTTGTATGTCTGTCGGAAATTTGTCATGTTTCATGGTCGAATATATAAATGATAATGAAATTATTATTATTATTCCTCACCTATTGCCAAGAATATATCATTGACATTCATTGCGGTTTTGGCTGATGTCTCCATAAACAATAAGCTATTGTCTTCTGCATATGCCTGCGCTTCCTACAGATAATAAGATGAAAGAATTTAGAATTAATGAAGAGAAAAAAAAAAAAAAGTCAGTCAAAGAATCATTATAACAAGCTGGAAGAAGACACTTCCACGAGATGTGGTTTAGCGAGTTTTCTTAACTTCTAACTTTGTTTTGTTGTGCATAGTGAGACCCATCAGTACTGACAGCTGGCATTGCAGAAAATGGGTTTAGTTTCCAAAAGTTTTTGCTTTCTTGCGCGAGTGAGGGAGGTCGTCTAGATTTCTTGGAGACTTCCGCGACTTGCGGAAGACTTGCGACTCTGTTATAATCATTCTATACAAACATCATTTTCGAACATAAATTTTGTAAATAATAATAATAATAATTAATAATAATATAATAATAATAATAATAATAATAATAATAATAATAATAATAATAGTTGGATTTGTATAGCGCATCATACGAAAAAGCCTCTATGCGCTTGGTGATGGAGCTCTTTGAGTTGACATTTTGAGCCTCGTCATCATCACACCATTATTTGTTCAGCCCGGTTTCCTGAAAATCGCTAGTGTTTTCAGCGCAATCGTTTTACTACGGAGCAGTCCCCGATGCAATTGGGAAGGCGCCCTGATTCTACCGACCAATCAGCATCACCAAAATCTATGCAATGCAGCGATTGTACGGAAACCAAGCTTAATAATCATCTACGGATTAGGTTAGGATCATTATAATAATGCACACATAGTAATTAACAAATCAAATAATTTGCCAATTATTTATTAATCACTACAAAATTTAGAAACTTGAAATATTAATTACATACAATGACAAACTTCAATCAAAGAGTTTGCAACTATGTGACTTATTGTAACATAATATATTTTGCAATCAGAACGAACATTAATTGCCTTGTGGAAGTTTATTAGCTGGGATGGTAATACATATAGCATTAATGAACTTGTGAACTCAGTCTGTTATGGGTTGAAGGATCCTAGCCTGGGATTTATCAATCTCAGCTGGGTTGAAAAGTTAAGGCAAGCCTAAGCAAATTGCTTATTTATCAAGCCATCTTGGAATTGTCTCTGCGCTTAACAACCATGCTTAGAATTTCATATGACGCATACATGAAAGAAATTTTGGGTTCAACAAATTTCATCAATGTGCAATAGCTACCATTTTTACCATTTGCTAACATTTAGGATAAATTTAAGAATTTTCTACTAAGGCAGTTTGATCAATCTTGACCTAGATCGAAAACTTTATTTACTATTAGTTATTTAAGCTATTGATTTTTTTACTTTATTAATAAGTATTTGATTATTATTAATTAGTTAGTCCAAATTACTAATTAGTTGCTTTTTTCAAGATGTTTCAGTGAAAGGGCTTTTAAACACTGTGTAACACCCAGGGCAGACTATCCCATCATTCATCACTGTTTAAAGGGTCTTCTAAACAATGGATAAAGTAGAGCTATAGGTCAATGGTAATATATATTAATAAAACATTTCATTTTGTAAGCACATTCTTTCTTACATCAAATTCTACCATTCGTTTGTTAGCTAAGTCTGCTTTGTTTCCTGCCAAGGCTATGACTATGTTTGGGCTGGCTTGCCGTTGCAGTTCTTTAATCCAGGTTTTTGCTCTTCCAAACGTATCCTGAAATAAATATAAAAAATAAACAAAATGAATATTTCTAAGAAGTATAATAAATCAAAAGTGTTTTTTTGTTGAGATTTAGGGTGAGCTCATTATTTATTTCAAAATATACTCATCCTGATTTTATCATCCTAAGATTGGCTGAAATACATACTTGTATTGTATCTACTGCGAGCCACCCAGTAACTGTTACAAAAGAACTAAATGGTGCAAATACCACATAATGGGACTGGAAATTCAATATTCTCAGACATAAGCACGTGCAGTCGATGGCGGTCGGAAGACAGTAAAGACTCTGATGTCATTTACCAGCAAGTATGTAATGAAACATCACCGCATGATAATGAGTTATCTAAAATGCATCTGCCAACTGATACTGTGTAAAAAGCCTGTTGAAGTCAAGTGGCTTGTTAATGCATAAACAAATATCTGATTGGAATTCAAGATTTTCATAGATTCTTGGAAACAGTTCCTTTTGAAGCATAAAAATAAGTTGAATTTTTTATTTTTTAAATTTAAAATTAATAAAATACTGTATGTCCATTTTTTGCACTTTCTACATTGGAGAAAGTTCCTGTAGAATTTGAAAAGTAAAACGGTTTTGAGACAAAATAATTCTTACTATATTTAAATTAATTATGTATTTATTGCATGAAAAAAATTTGCCACATACAGTAAGCCTGTCCCTTTTCTTATAAACTATCTGCATTCCGCAAATAGCTGCCTTGTTGACTGGTTATCATATCATTATATATTATATCATATGATATTACAACTTACAAGTGAAAACTACGGTCACAAGCATCTATAAAGAAATCGAACATTTCCAAAAATAATGCATAATCCCGAACAAAATATGAAACAGATAATTGAAATGAAATAAGTACAAGAAAAAGAATAATATCAATTCACAGAATATTACATGGGAGGGATGCTAAATGTTACATGAACTGCCCAAGATATATTGCTACTGAGACATCCTCTTCTTTAAACAAGTGAATACAGACTTTGCTAAAGTTAGCACAACTGATAACTTCCCAAGATATATTGCTACCAATACATCGTCTTCTTTAAACAAGTGAATACAGACCTTGCTAATGTTAGTAGAACTGATACCCAGACCATAAAGATCCATACAATGCCACCGTGAATGACAAGCTGTGCCCCCTCCATTAACATGTGCACATATCCATTCAAAATATCTAGGAATGTTACAGGATTTTGCAATGTCTGTTTTCATTACATTAACATTACACAGGAAACATTTTAATCTTAGACAGATGTGCATTCATACGGATGCAACGTGTTTCCCTACAACTACTTTGCTTGTGTAAATCAAGTATTTGGCACCTACTTGGTTTGTAATGTCATATACAACGATGGCTGCCTGCGCTCCTCTGTAATACATGGGTGCTAGGCTGTGGTACCTCTCCTGGCCTGCTGTGTCCCAGATTTCAAACTTAACTGTTGTGTCATCTAAACACACTGTCTGCGTTAAAAAGGCAGCTAAGAACAAAGAAGATAAATAGTTTAATAGTATTACTCTCAACAAATTTGCAAAATAAAAAAAAGTAAAATGCATAATAATAATATGAGGCAAAGAGACTAGTACCCCTTATAATTGCCAAAACAGAATAAACACCTGTTAATTCCGGAGTGATCCTGGGTGCATTTCCCATTTACGTCGAATGAAAAAGTCTGGGTTGCTCCCATTTACACCGGCAACTAACTCGAGTTCAAATACCGCTATCAATTTTTGTTGCGATGGTGATATTCACTTTGCTCGAGTTCCTTGTCGTGACAAAGTCGCAATTATTGTCAATATCGAAGCAATGTATATGCAGATTGTTTTAAAATTATGGAAATAAAATCAACAGTTTTGATATCAAGTCTATGCCAGAGCGCATAGGGTTTATTTTGAAAAGTGTCTAGGCCTACAGTAGCCCGTTGCTAGCAAAGTTTAGGCCTAAAAACAGTACCTGACCACAGCTGCTTTAGACGCCAGGTAAGGCCTAACTCCGGAATTGAATTCAGTGTTGTTTACACTGGTCATTCCGGAATGCACCCGGTTCTCCAATAATGAATGCGTCCCGCACATCGATCCCGGGACGTTCAGCAACCCGGGTTGTATTTTTTGACATTTACACCAGCCACAACTCGGGAGTTTCTAGCCCGGGTATTGCAAATCCCAGGTTGCGTCCAGAGTTTTGCTTGCAGTGTAAAAGAGGTATAGGATGGGTGGGAATATGAACAATGGGGCGCTGTGTACTACTGGATCTAAAAACTAGATTTACTTAGCAACAGAAGGGCACCCTGTATATCTGGATGTGGTCTGGATCAACTTTCGTAAATTGTTATTATTCAAAACAGAAGGGCACCGCTTATGTCTGGATTTGTGCAAAAGATGTGACATCCAATGTTTTTATAGAATTTTTAAGGGGTTTTTTCCCCAAGATTTTAAAACAAGATTTTTCTAATCAGGTTGAAGACCAAGATCAACGCTAATGAAAACATTTGCATCTATCATAGCTTTTTGGAGTTGGCTTACTTTTTGAACTTTTTATTCAATATTTACATACTTGTTCTTTTTTTTTTTCATTTTAATTTTTTTTTTTTTTTACAACATGCCAAAAGCCTGAAAAAAATACATGGAATAAAGAGAATGAAGAAAGAGAAAAGGGTGGGCAAAATAAAAACATTAAACATGAACATTTGCATTCATCTGCAGTTTAAGCATCAGCTGCAGAAGACACATAATCAAACGGCCCAGATGCAGTCTCACCAATTAATAAGCAGGCACATGAAAAATAAAACAATTAATACTCAACCATCATTTTGAAGAGTACCGACTGCTATACTTGTAACTGTCAAAATGCAAGTTCACTCATTTGATTTATTATGAAAAAGCAAACTACTGTACTACTTTGTACGTTGACCCAACGACTTATCGATATATAACAAAAACAGATTAATTAAAATGCTAGTGAAATATGAATATCTTGAGTTGAAAGAACAGACAGAGCCGTCTTTAAACATCCAAATTTTGTTTTAAAACTCTGTAACGCCCAAGTGTAGCAGTAGTATTTTAGTATAACAGGACTACTATGCAAGTACTGTAATAACAAACCGGTGGTACTTTATCAGCTACACAGCAGCAGGGTTTATGCTATGTTTACTGTACACTCAATAGTCTTCAAATTATGACATCATCATGGTTTATATTAATCTATATTATAATAGGGTGTGTTTCTACTGAATATCGAGAAAGAAACGGTTCTCTTATCCTTGGTTGATTATCGGATTAGCAAAATAAGTACCGCGTTGCAACTGATATTGGATTCCACATGAAACGGTTACCGGACTGATACCCTACATATACAGTACATGACGTAAATAATTACCCACATTGCAATTTAAAATTACCTTAATAAAAGCTTTAAAAAAACGTTATTTTCGTGCGACTACCAAATTACAAGCAATGATTCGTCCTGTCCCAGTACTAGCTCATGTCGGTATTCAAATAAAACAATGTTAAACTTTTGTTTTTACAGTACTTTAGGGAATATTTCGTTGTGCTGTAAACAGAAGTTTCACATTTGTTTTACTGATTCCTCCTAATAAATAACAAATAATATCAGTGATAGGCCTATTGTTATACTGGCATAGTTGAACATTATTAAGAACTTAAGAATATGTCCATATATAATAATCATTAGGTCACATCAGGCCGCTATTTATGTTGCAGCTAAAAACTACCCACGAAGAACGGTTCTTTAGTTTGAAGAATGGTATTGATTCCGTACCAAAGAACCATTTTTTTGGAACGCCAAAAAGAACGGTTCTTTTTTGTGGGCCCCGTTTCTACTGCCACAAAGAACCATTCTTAGTCAGGAAATATGACTTGGATTTTATGGTTTTCTGTAAGAAAAACTACTTTCACAGAAGCCAAAATTACTCGAGCTCACTGTGAAATGTTCATCTGAAGTGATTTTCGAATGAAAATTTAAAACACGACTTTAATGGCAAAAATGAGTGTTATTATTCTCTTCAAAAAGATCACAAATCCATGCGAATAGTGCCGTCAATGAACAAAAATTTAGATTTACTGTACAGTATGACTGAACAAGCATGCACAGCTCAAATGTACTATAACATCGGCTGAAAACGATCGATATTTCTTGCTTAAAACTTAGTTTTATGTACTTTATATATTTTCTTTAGCTGATGTAACATTTTATATTATTTTTGAAGAATTTTAAATACAATCTTAGTATTTTTGTAATTAAAAATGATTGTTCGTAATGACCTCATCGGCGAAAATTGGGTTCGTAAAATTGAGAGTCCGTAAAATCGTAAATGGGAGTTTCGTAATTGGTAGATGTTACTGTATATTATAAATTGTTAAAATTCCACAGTATACCGTAGTTTACAAAAAAAAATTAAACCAGTGATATAAAAATTCTAAGACTTAAGGGTCTCCGTTTTTGTGGAAGCTCTTAAAAACCAAAAGGCCTAAGTCAAGCAGGCCTAGGCCCAAGGCTAGCTGACGCGATTTTTTTAGGCTAGGCCCAGGTAGGCCTAGGCCAGAATTTGAGGAATGCAACAAAACAGATGAAGATGAGACTTACTGTAGGCCTAATTAAATTCAATAGTTTACATGCTTTGTTTTAGATTAAAAAATAATAATGAACAAATCCCGGCGACAAAGCGTCGATACGACTGTTCCCAGCTGCATTGTTTGCCGTAATTTCACATGTTTGACGATTACCACGATGAATGTGTATGTCACTGATTCATGTGCACTCATTTATTTATTTTTTTGTTCATTTACACACATTATATATCAATTATAACTAAAAGTGAAAAACTTAAAATACAAAATGAAAACAAAGTAAAGAAATAAAACATAAATCAGGTTTCGTAAATTTTTAAAAATCTTCCTGCCCCGGATCATGCTCTCATAATAAAACACTTGAATGGTCACGATTTCAACTTTAACCTTTGAATGTGTACAGCAACCGTGTCATGCCGGCCCACGACGTTCGCTATGACTCAACTGGGCCTAGGCTGTTCAGTTTAATAGCGATGAATAGCAGGGCAGTGCAGTATTTTGTTACAATTAACGTAACCACAAAAACATTTATTGTATTCTTCTTGTCTTTATCTATCAATTTAGCTTGTCTATTGTGTTTAGGTTTAACTAATTATTTTGTTACAATTTGTCAACTGGGTCATTCCGTGCCAACTCAACAAATGGGATGGCTGGGTACCGTCTCAGATTTTCTTGAAACTCGGATATAATGTGCACCAACATGTCTGACGAACAAACCCAAAATTTGACTTGCCAATTCCAAGTCGTTTAGAAAATGGCCCAAGTGCAAGATTGTGCAATAAAATTGTGTTTACTATATTATTGATTTCAAATGAGCATGATATTATCCATGTACTGTCTAGACAGCCATGAAACCCTTCCATTCTAGGACAACTTTTTGTGCTGATCTCAGGTATGCAGTCTGTTAAAGGGATGCATTGTTTAATTAGTAAGATATTTTGCCTCAAAAATGGCCCAAGTGCTTAAATTGCACAATAACATTGTGCAACTATATATTGATATATTTCAAATGAGCATAACATTTACAGTGTACTGTTTAGAACCATGAAACCAATATTCTAGTACACATTTGTATGCTTATTTAATTCATGACGTCTGTTAAGGGACAGAGTGGTTAGTATGATATTTTGCACCAAAAAATGGCTCAAGTGCAAGAATTGCATATATAAACATATATTTTAAATATGAGCACAATATTATCAGTGTACTACTGCCTATAGCCATAAAACCTTTAATTCTAGAAAACCTTTTGTGCTTATTTCAGTCACGTAGTCTGGTAAGGAACACAGTCTTTAATTAGAAAGATATTGTACCGACCCCAGAATTGTGAAATAACAGTGCTTTTCACCATTCTCGCACAAGAGCCACTTTTGGGGGCCCAATATCTAATAATTAAACATTGTGTCCCTTACCACCAGAGTGCATGACTGAAATAAGCACAAAAGGTTGTTTTTGAAGTAAAAGTTTCATGGCTCTAGACAGTACAATGTAAAATTTATGCTCATTTAAATTCAATGTCACACAATGTTATTGCTCGATTGTTGCACTTGGCCATTTTTGGGGCAAACTATCTAACTATTAGTTAGTAAGATAAAAGACTGTATCCCTTAACAAACTGCATGAATTAAATAAGTATACAAATATGTACTAGAATATAAGGTTACATGGTTCTGAACTGTACACTGTTATTGTTATACTCATTTTAAATATCAAAATAGTCGGAAAATGTTATAGTGCAATTTTGCACTTGGGCCATTTTTGGGGCAAAATATCTTACTAATTAAACAATGCATCCCTTTGACAAACTGCATAACTGCAATCAGCACAAAAAGTTGTCTTAGAATAAAAGGTTTCATGGCTATAGACAGTTCACAGATAATATTATGCTCATTTGAAATCAATCGTAACACAATTTTTTGCACAATTCTTGCACTTGGGCCATTTTTGGGGCATAATATCTTACTAATTAAACAATTTATCCCTTTAACAGACTGCATAACTGAAATCAACACAAAAAGTTGTCCTAGAATGAAAGGTTACACGGCTCTAGACAGTACACGGATAATATTATGCTCATTTGAAATCAACAGTAAATACAATTTTATTGCGCAATTCTTGCACTTGGGCCATTTTTGGGGGGACATATCTTACTAATGAAACACTATATCCCTTAACGAACTGCATGCCTGAAATAAGCACATGAAGTTGTTTTAGAATTATAAGTTTCAAGGGTCTAGGCAGATTATTTTTAATATTATCGTTATTCAAAAATTAATTTTATCACATTTACGCACTGATACTCTCACAAATTGAAAAATATACCCCTTTTCAAATCGCTTTTTAAACATGAAGGGATAAAGACA